GCGCACTGGCCCATTCCGGGTTATAACTCATCGATTTTGCGGATGACCTTCGCCCTTTGGTTTGGAGGACAGTAATTTGATTATAAAGCAGTCGCCTGCTTTTGTTCAATTTTGAGCCTAGTTCTTTAAGTCACTCCTCTATTTTTTCAGTTGTTCGGTACCACTCGCGTTACGGAGTATAGTAATGCCCATTCTTTCTTCCGAAGGACCTACGAATCATTTCGACACATCAAACTTGCGGTCCACTTGTTGTCCCAGACAGGGAGAATTGACGGCTGCAGGAAGCGTGTGAAGTTGGAGCGCGCAGGCTAACTAATCGTCCAGCATTCCTTTTTTAGCGCTCCCGTAGGAAAAGGTTGAAAAAACAACGCTTGTGACGCGCCCAAATGTTTAAGAGCTGTGGGCGATTTGTTGCGCGAGTTTCTACACCACACATGCAACCCTAGTATTTTTAGTTTCGGAGCAGGTGCACTTTTGCGGGCTGCGTGGGCGGCGGGTCGCAGCCTACGATTCCACGGGCCGCGGATCACATTTTCAGTAGACTATGGAGAACCCATTGCGCATGCTTTGACACCGCACACGGGTGCCTTGCGTTTTTATTTCGGGTCAGCGGTGGTTTTCAGGATACACCGCCGGCGATCTACGGCCGGCGCGGACGGCGGACCGCCGCCGGCGGTGCCGCGGAGCGCGCGGAGGACCGACGTTGCTTCAGAAAAAAGTATGCCACCTTTTTATATTTGTCGCTTATTGTTGGATCCGACGCGTGGGACTTGTCCACTTATACCAGTTTTCTCCAAATCCTTCCGAATAGCTCATAATTTTAATTTGAAGTAGCCGCTCCTGCGGGTGAAATCCTATTGGACCCTGTTCACCACCACGGAAGAAATAAATTGTATTTGCCTGGTTTCTTCCAACGGGTGTGCTCTGTAATGGTCGTAGCACAATTAGTTTGTTTGAAATGCTTGCGTAATAAATGCTACAAAATTTCGAAACACTTTTTAGAGGGAAAAAGCTCAAACATGAGGCTATTATTTCGCCAATTCAGTGAAACGTTATAGTATTGCCTTGAGTTCTCTCCTATGGCGTTTACCATTTTCGTTATTTTCGAAGTGCACTTTTGCTTTGGGAAAGAGAGTATCACATGATCTATAGGGACGCACTGGTTTGAACTACAACCAATGCGCCTCTCGATAACTGGTCCTTGCCTTCCGCCGTGCCAATCACAAACGTTCATTTGAACTGACATCATTCCCACCTGTCAATCAGGATTCAGGACGAGGTCAGTCGTGTCCAGGATCCTAGGGTAACAGTCATAGCACCTCCGTGTTTCAACTGCCGCACCAAATTTCTAAAGACCGTGGAATCCTTCTTAGGAACAATAACTAGGAACCTCTCGCTGGTCCGGAATGCGAACTATCCAGCTCCCAGTACCAGGGGCGATATTCGGCGGGCTCTGACTACTACGACGAGGATAAAACCAGGAAAAAAATGGTGATATCAGCTGCAGCACTGCTGATATGAGCAATTCCATAGTCGTGGCGACTCGTGCTCAAATTTCACATCCGATGCCTCAGCCTGTCTCACTAAAGCTCATCGCCGTCTCTCGGCAGTGTATGGATTAAATTTAAATATGTGGACACATGAAATCGGATCCTTTGTCTAATCATAAGGCTAGATTATGCTACGAAATAGGAAATAAGCCGCCGGCAGTCTCAGCCTTTTTTCCTTTTTGCTGAGCCTCCACTAGCATTTCTTAACAGATCTCAATCAGCGGAATCTAGTACGGAACTCTTGCAAAATTGATGTCAGGAGATCACAAGATACTTTGAGCACTCCCTTTACCTTCACTCATCTTTATATAGAGCATAATGATAATAAAAAGCGTTTCAGCGCACTCCTGTAAACCGCTTAAAATCTTCCGCGCGGCAGGCAGTGTGCGAGGCCGTCACCGGCGATACCCGGCCTCGTACCCCATAGCCGCAGTTCCTCCAGGCAGCAGGAATCACAGGATGAATCTTTGACATGCGTCGCTTCAACATCCTCTGTTGGCTTCTCAAGGTACAATTCGGGTGTCCACACACAACGGGCCTCCTAGATCGGTAGCGCTTTCTAACGCTTCTACCAGAGCCACACTCCAAATAAGAGTCTTATGGGAGCCGTACAGCGCCGTCAAGAATGATGATTGGCTACGTCCTTCCACCCGAAGAGCTTCTCACGATACGGAGACAACCAACGGCGGCCCGCAGCCTTGCACTGAAGCCAAATCACACCCGCATGACAACCGCCCGAGGCCATCTGGCTCAAATGGCACGACTCCGAAGGCCGCGTAGCGGGCTGATCACGGTCGTCGCAGGGCGCGGAGGCCAGCCACGATTCTCGGAAATAAGCATAGTTATTGGGAATTTTGTACTGCTTTGTATGCGACGTGAGTCTTGGCTGAAAACGTGTGAAAAGTGCTGATCTGAGGGCGTTGGAAAAACACTGTCACCCATAGATATATCTGTGATATCACCACTGTCTGTGGGTCAGTACTGATATAGTACAGCCTGTGTCATATGTTTGCTACCTGATCACCTACAATATATTTCGGTCACCTGACCTGATCTGTCATCTGATATCCTGATCAAATTTATTACATTTGTTGGCATTTTCTGGGTCAACTGGCTAATACAAATAAACGTCAGTATTTCCGGCATATGCTCTACACAAGCACACGCTGCAAGTTATAGCGGGTGCAAACCAATAGTAAGCTTCGAGTTTCGTCTAGCTGCGATGGTCTGTTGCATTTTCTCCATTTTCGCAATTTTGTCTCCAAATAGTTCGCAGAAGTGTCCAGTTTGTCACCGATCATATCCTGCGAACCGGCAGCTCGCCCCCCCCCCCCCCCCCCCCCTCCTGCCTGCACCAGCAAAGGTTGAAGCATTCGCACACCGGGATCATTAACATCAGGATAGGCTGACTGAAGAACCGCGGGATTTTTCAGAATTGTTTCCTTTTTTGGAACGACTTATGAGACATCACGACAGGAAAATAGATTCAGAAAGAAGTTAATAACAGTGCCAGTTGACCTCTACGGCGAGATAAATGTCTATTAGCCTGTAATTGAGTAGTATAAGAAATGAGACATGTTCCCGCGCGTTATTCAGAAACCAGTAAATAAGTTCATCTGCATAAAATGCGAATGCCTCAACCCGAGCGTGTCCGGGATTCCAGCCTAGCGCCTGGGGTACGGCATCTCCGCAGACGCAGGTGCTACGAGCACGAGACCGAGAACGGTACAGGAAGCCATTTGTGGGACAGTTTGAGTAAAGAAGTGATTTGCCTTAAATCAAGGTCAGTTTCACTAGAAGTGAAAAGAGGTCAAATCTCAAAGCGACGAAGATCTTTTTGATTAACCCAGGCCCAGTCGTTCTTCACTATGCTTTGCTCGGCCGGTTGGACCGGATCCCACTTTCTGAGCATCGCACAGAAAAAACCCCAGCGAACAGAATATGTCACTGGGAGTGAAATGGACATGTCTCGTTTTAACCTGGAAAAAAAATTTGAGCCATCAGTGACCATAATAGGTCAGACTGTGCCAGGGTCGAATTGAGGGAAGGAAATGCATAATTTCTTTGTTGAGAATCCAAAAGTCATTTTATGGTGAGCATGCCAAATGCGTGTAACGCATTATAGGACATAAACGTAAAAGTGTTATCTTAGTCTGTCAATGTCCATATCTAAACGAGTTAAATTTGTTGCAGTTGTCGTGAAAAGTTTTCCCTTGGGCATGACTTCAGCCAGTTATTCATTTTGATTGGAACTTGAAATATGCACACGGGATGTTAACTAAAAAACTAACTAAAAACGGAAGGTGCCAAAAGCTTCGCGCAGCGCGTTGTCGGAAAGCTCGGAGAGCATTGAAAGGGATAGATCATTCGACGCTTATGGCCGATCTTGGCTCAGGCTGTTCGTTTCAGATAGTAGTTCGATCACCCAAAGCTGTTCGAAGCGTTCATGCCACGAATTGTTCATAGCGATAACGTTAAAACAGAAATGTACTTTCTTCGATTGGATGTTGCCACATTTTTTAGAGGCGTAAACTTCATGAAAATTAACTGCCGCACACATTCCTCCAAATCAGCGAGGCTGTAGCCTTTTTGATGATGACGGTATCATGCATGGTATGCCAAATAACGCTTCCAGGTGAGCAATGAGCATAATAAACAAAGTGCAAAATTGCTGGGTTATCTCTAATTGCGCTTCAAAGCTGTCGTGCAAGGCCTAACACAAAGATGCAAGGGACGTTAAACACGTGATAGTTATTAGACCAGAGAGTACGAAAACAACTTTCACACTCGGAGGCAAAATGAAAGGCAGGCACCACGGGTTATCAGTTGTCACCTTTTCGAGAGATACTAATGCTTTTCAATAATAATTGAAATACATGTATTTTCAGGCTTGTGGTGATCCAGCCAATTTCAATCTGCCTTTAATCATAGGCTCTGGACCGAAAGCATTGAACACTTTTGGGAGATATTGTTGATGTCTAGTGGCCATTTGGATGGGTCTCAATAATATTGCATCGTGAGCAATTCGATACAAACAAATATGGAAGCTCGCTGTGGTGAAAAAAATCGGTTCATTTGAACGAAAATGCTTGCAAATAATGCGTCTTTCTTTGCAAGAAAGTTGTTAAGATAGGCGGGGACTGTCTCCTATCCCAAGAAAGAGGGGACACGTTCCCGCCTTTCCCACTGACGCCGTCCTTGGTGACACCACATACCAGTATAACAAAAACTGTGTTTGTTCGCACCGCCAGGAAAAATCATGGCACTTGAGGAGAAACACAAATCAATAGACCAACGCATTTTGGGCCATATTACATGTGCAAGCGCATTTTTCTTTGAAGCATTCGTACTACCGCCGCGATTGAGGACACATTTTGCAGTTTTATGATTTAGCTGCCTCATGCCCCAACACGCTGTTCCCGCGTCAGTATTGTAAATCGCACCCATACTGTTTGTGCCGTTGTTGACTGCGTCGCTGCTGATTCCTTGTTCAGTTCCGTTCCGTCTGCCGGTGATTACCCTTTGTCGGTAGTCGGAGATTTCTTGTTTTTAAGCTACTTCTCGTGTAAGTATCTGCTTTATTTTAGGTTGTAAACCATTTTCTGTCTTTGGCAGATGTGGTTCTTACTGTTTAGACGCGGAGCGCGATTTGGATGCGTAGACCACGATGCGCCACTTCAAGCACCTTTTGTTCTCGGTTGCTTTGTCTTGTATCTTGGATATCTCCCGCTAACGCGTCATGCTTGACTGGTTGATTTTTGTTGGTTTTTGAAAGTGGGAACATCATGTGCTTATGTCACAGTTAAATTGTAGTGAAACGTGACCTGCTTTGTTGAATGTTGTGCAAATTGGACTGGTGTCAATATGTGGCAGTGCAATTAGATAATGCAATACGTGGTTGACCCAGCAATAAAAGACAGTTGATAAATTGTTGGGGGCAGAATAAGCAGTTCTGTAACAAAATGAACTATATGGCACAGAAATTTTTGATGTGTTAACCTGTAATCGTCATTCAGCGGTGGAGAGAGGCCATTTTGCTGAATGATGTGTTAGAAATGTCCAGCATAGCAGTGGTATCACAGGCAATATTTCTAGAGTACATAAGCCTTTAACCTGGGTACACAGAGTGGTGCATAGTCACAAACAATATAAGAATGTAGATGGCCAACATTTCAGAGGTTTATGATATTGTTATGATGAGTTCAGGCATAATTAGCTGTTGGAAAGTTTTAAGTGCAGCAATATTTGGAAAAATTACCACAATTTGGCCTGACCTGAGTATGGTGCACATGAACATGAAGTTTAATGCTTCAAAAGGGTATGGGCATCCATCACAGTAAATTAAAATTTTTGCATACTGGTAGGAGGTAGTCCTGGTCTTAAACAAAATATAACCCATGTCTTAGCAATAACATAGCATGGGGGCTTACCCATGCTATCTTAAACAACCCATGCTATCTTAGCAAATTGGAGCTGCATGAGACAACCTGTGTAACACATGATGCCAACAGCAGTAAGAAAACAACTAGATTGTGGTATCTAGCCCTTTGAAATGCAATTATCATCATATACTTTGCTACTTTATGCATCATTGAAAACTAATTAGAAAGCATTTGGAAATGGTAAAGGACTCATGTCAGGGATGATTTCATATTCATTGTCTCAGTCTACTTGCCACAGTGCTTTTTTAGGGATACAAATGAACTACAGTGAGGTAAAGAGAGGAAGTATGCATTCAGTTGAGACAGTGAATCCTAATTTGTACATTGGCAGGAAGGATTGTGTCTTTTTATGCCTTCTGGTTGCTTTTTTGAAGGGAGTGCTCCACATTAATATTGGGTTCGAAGTGAAATGGCCATCTTGAAGTTCTTTCAGTTCTGCACACAATCCTGTCCTTCATAACATCTTTGGTTCCTGAGCTGTACATCTGCAACAATAGAGAAAGGTATATCAGGAAGAGCATTTCAAAGTCACCTCAGCATTCATGATTTCATAAGATGGTCATTCAAATCTGGCCATTCCATAAGTCATGCAGTGATAAAGATCAAGAAAAAATTAGTTGTTCAGGCATTCATGAGCACAGTTTTCAGATATAATGGTTGCAAGTTGGCTCTCATTGTTGTGCAAGGTATAATGTGATAAGCAAACCATGATACATTGAGCATGTTTACTAAACAGAGAAGTATGCTGCCTATAGTAGTCTTTTCCACTTAAAAAGCATGCCATTAGTTATAAGTTAGCTTGTTTCATCACATATAATGCTTGCTTCAATATCTTTAAATGTGAAACATTCCCTTAAATCTAAGTAAAACACAAAATGCAGATTGAATAAGACACAAAGTGCAAAGTGATCCCTTGGAATCCTGTGAAGGATTTTTGTCTTGTGGTGCCCTTCATCCTGGGCACTTCCCCTCCCCTCCTGTCTTACTGAAGCCATAGCTGTTATATAGCCCTTAATTTTTTGATAGGATGTTGAAAATAGCATATGGTAATCACCATGGAAATAGCTTTATTGCACAGAACAATCAATGGGGTCCTGTGTTGTCCACTGCTGGGAGAGACCATTGCCAGGGTTTGTGACATGAAGGCTGGTGGTGTGATCTAATTTCATCTTCTTCAGAAATATGTGCATGCACGTCACCCTGTCACATTATGTTTTCACATTTTTACAGGACATTGTATGAGTACTAAAGTACAGAAACCAGTGATTCAAGGTCAGCGGATCAAGACCAGAAAAAGAGGTAAGAGATGTTTGGGTGTGTTAAGCCTTCTTCAAGTTCTTTTTATTTCAGCACAAACTGGTCTGTAATGCTTTTTGTTTCATGTCATCAGGTGGCAATCGCTTATTGCTACTCAGGTGATGTTACAGCATTAGCTGTTTTCTCTCATATGGAGACATGTGCATTCACTTAATGGGGGCATTTGTTTTGTCATGTTGATTTTAGCTGGCCAAGATCCAAATGTACTTGCTTTGACTTTGTAGAAGTCATAAGGAACAAATGTGCTTGTTTTGCTTTATTGACCTTGTCTTCATCCTGAAGAATCATGAGTGCTTAGAAAGTTGCTCTCTGACAGGTGCCTGATTTACACAGCCATTTTCATCCAGATCCACGCTTTGATATGATTCATGCAACAGGCCAGTGCTAGAATGAGTCTTGTTTTTAGTGAGGCTGTCACCAGGTGCAATGTTTTGGGGTTGCAGACATGCGTTACCTAGTTATGGGCACAGAATGCCAGAGATGTGTTCTTCCCATCATAGTCTACAAACCTGGTCTGTGTCAAGCCAGGTATGTTCTGTTGCTGATGACATTTTGTTGTGCACCATGCCTTGTGAATCATCACCACAGCTGGGCAGCTAATGGTTTCTGCTGCAAACTGCATTTAGCATCATTTTTCCAAGGTGGGGAGTGAATGGTAATTTGGCAACACACCACTTGCAGATGCAGCAGGCATGTGCATAGGCTTTGAGCCCTGGCTTTCAGATGTATGGGTGTTATTTGAAGGACCATGTTACTGGATTGTGGGACAGTGCACATCTGGATCATGGCTCCAAGGCTTCTTCTATGGGTGATAAAGATTGTCAGGCAAAGGTGCATCTGTGCATCATAATTCCTATGCATCTGATCACAAAGATGGAAGGAGTTTGTTCATTTTCTCACCCAGTATGCAAAGAAGCATCGTTTATGAGGAAAGTGACCAAATCTTTAGAAAATTGATGTGTGGTTCCTGACAGTTCATTCCTTATATCCTTTCATGTCCAAGTGATGCCTTGTTAGGTCTGAGTATGTCCTGTCATGCAGCATGGAGAGAACATATTGGCCTTGTAGCATACAGTTGAAAGTAGAGAAGCAACAATTTCCTGGGCATTGGTATCAAGACACCCAGTTCACGAAAAGACCATGAGCCTCTTCATTTGATTTTAGTTGTGTTTGTTGGTGCTGTTGCTGCCCAGCCAGTTGTAATTAGTTAACACTGAAGCTTTTATAATACTGATCAATTTTGTAGAGGCACGATCTTTGTCTGGGCACCATGTGACCAATGTAGTCAGTGTGCCCCAAAGCCCAAATTCTCATCAGTCTTTGTCATAGCAGTGTGCAGGTGGTCTGATATAATTATTTCACGTAAGAGGCCATTTGAAGGGAAAACAAGGGATCAGATGCAAGTGAATGATCAAAAACGGATTTAGGAAGATGTGTTTGATGGTACAAATCTGGCACTGCTGTTTTAGCTATTGATTAGTGCAATTAGCTGCATTAACCGCATTGGTGGGTGTGGGATGTGTGTGCACCGCGCAAAGACGGTGTACGATTTTAGGAAACCGTCTACTTAATAGTTGGTTGCCCAAAACTCAAATTACCATCACCATCAGTATCGTCATCACCGTTGGTTTTGTTGACGTTTCGTTCTGCATTGTCCGATCCAGGAGACCATACGGCGCCGATTGGTAAGCAGACTTGTGCTTGGCTCTGGGCAGTGTTTAAGTCAAATGCGATAAAACCAGAAGGTTTTTGGCAAGGCAAGCTGTGATAACTATGCGTAGGTAATCCGATGGAACAATCGCACGAAAATTACCATTTTAAAAGAACAGTCTGAGCGATCGGAAAGTTGTGTGAGGTAAATGCTGTGCAGCCTAGAGCTGATGCTCGTACTTTATTAAGTGACCGACACAATTAAATTTCGGCATTAAGGGTTCGCCCTCTTTAAATGGGAGTGTTCACCGTACTATCGCCAGAGCTCACTGAAGGCGTAATGGATCAAAGCCGCGAAAGGCGGGTCGATGTTGCAGCTTCACCCTGGTAACCGAGTCCGATGAATGATAGGGCATCGACTTCGCGTCGGCCTGGAGTCTCTTTAACCTCACACTAGTCCTTTCAGGCGTTAGCAGTGTACGAGTTCCAGTGATTTGGCGGCGGTCTGCATTTTGCTGGAAGTGGTTGTGGGATGTATGCACACCGCGCGAGGGCGTTGTGCTGGTGATGCACTGCCTTTGATTGATATTCTGAAAGCATTGGTCTATGACGGTCACGGGGCTTGCATCACCCTGTGGGTCATCAGCCAATCACACAGCGGCGGCGCCAGCTAACGCCTTCCCCACGCCTGCGTCCGTGATGAGTTCCCAGAACTGCGGAGCTCCACCGCAGCGCGGGCGCGGCTGGCTAGTCAGTCACCTTGTGCGGAGCTTTACCGCAGCGCGGGCGCGGCTGGCTAGTCACCTCGTGCAGAGCTCCACCGCAGCGTGGGCGCGGCTGGCTAGTTACCTCGTGCAGAGCTCCACCGCATCGCGGACGCGGCTGGCTAGTCACCTCGTGCGGAGCTCCACCGCAGCGTGGGCGCGGCTGGCTAGTCAGTCACCTCGTGCGGAGCTCCACCGCAGCGTGGGCGCGGCTGGCTAGTCACCTCGTGCGGAGCTCCACCGCAGCGTGGGCGCGGCTGGCTAGTCACCCTCGTGCAGAGCTCCACCGCAGCGTGGGCGCGGCTGGGTAGTCCACCTCGTGCGGAGCCCCACCGCAGCGCGGGCGCGGCTGGCTAGTCACCCTCGTGCGGAGCTCCACCGCAGCGTGGGCGCGGCTGGGTAGTCACCTCGTGCGGAGCCCCACCGCAGCGCGGGCGTGGCTGGGTAGTCACCTCGTGTTTTGAAACCATTACGGGCGTTATTGGTTGGTAGAACGCTGGCGGCGGTCGTAAATAAAGCCTGGATAGGGCAGTACTCTTGATTTCGTGATTTCGGAGTCAGTGATGCTGCCTTTTTATTGTTGTCTTTTGGGTGTGGGGGGGGGGGGGGGGTAGACTGCCAAGCAGACTTGTGTATGACTTGGGGCATAGTCTGAATCAAGACGGAAATCAACAGCTATTGAGTCAGTGTGGAACTGACCGAACATTACTGGAGTGCGCCGTGGCGTCTTTACCGCATGGCGTAGGACTGCATCGGGCGGCGGCTCAAGCTATGTCGATTTACGAGTTGGAACCGTTTCACATCTTTAGTTTTAGTGACTTTTCATTTTTGCTGTCGATTTTTTAGGAGGGAGGGGGACATCCGCTGGTAAGCAGACGTGTGCTAGACTCCGTGCAGGGTTTAAGCCGACACCCGAGTTCTCTTGGGTCAAGGTGGGATCAACGGCCTCAGTGGCAAGTCAGGCTTATTAGGAGCATTACCCGTGAGTGGCCTGCAAGCGCAGGAGAAGTGCATATAAGTGGTCCGAAAGTTATTCAGCGTTGAGGAGATTTTAACAGTACGTATTTAGCCACATCGTCAGAACCGATACACAACGCAGGCTTACTATAACACAATGGCTATCTCCCAAACAGATGTTGCCAAAATAGATTGTTGACTTTGTCTAAGTTGATTTCTGAACCGGCCTATCCCTGGGTCGGAATTGGCATTAGTGCTGTGCTGATGGGAGTCAGAGTCGAGTCAAGTCAAGCCAACGTACTGTGAATGGGTCAGATCGACTCAGTTCGTGCTCACACAGGCGCGAGTCGCGGCTCAAGCTGCTGTCATGCTCTGAGCTTGTTTGTACGCTGTAAATGACCTTGGTGTTCTCAAACTGATGTGAGAGAAATGGCTGCACAGGGCGCAAAATGACCTTAGTAGTCGGCGCGCCCCAAAACCCCAATCAACAACAACAAGAAATGGCTGTACTGTGGACAATGTGCGCTTTGGTTGGGTATAAATGACGTTCATATTAGTACAGTCCTGAGAAGGGAACTTGTGCACATAGACGCTGGTGGAGTTGGCATCCGAGCGTAACCTCACACGTGCAGCTGATATGCGAGCGTAGCTTCGCTCGTGCAGCTGGTATGCGAACGTAGCCTCGCTCGCGCAGCCGGTATGCGAGCGTAACCTCACTCGTGCAGCTGGTATGCGAGCGTAGCCTCGCTCGTGCAGCTGATACGCGAGCGTAACCTGGCTCGTGCAGCTGATATGCGAGCGGCAGCTGGCCTGTGGCACGTGCTGGCTTGGCTGGCGGCCCATGTGGTCCCCCTCTCCGCGGCCGCTGTCTAACGTGCGCTCGCTGGCCCTCCCCCAGATGAGAAGGTTAAGCACGATCCCGTGGCCTTCCGCGACAGCATCCTGCGTGGCTTCGCCGAAGCCGGCGCGGACCTAGACGCGCTCAGCAAGTACCTGGACACGGCCGGGAACAAGCTCGACTACAAGCACTATGGCGAGACGCTGTTCGACGTGCTCATCGCCGGTGGCATCCTCGGTGAGCGGGCCCAGTCGGGCGGCGCCGTCGAATGCTCGCTGTGCACGCCGCCGGCCCGGCTAATTACCCGCCGGCTGTTGACAGCGTAGTAGCGTTGCCGTGCTGGCAAATTGCTACGTGAGGGGATACAAAGCTGAGATTGAATTCCTGGCATGCAGGCGCACCGGGCACCTGGCTCCGAGGAAGCGGGCAGAGCAGCCGGAGGCACGGCCGCTGGCTGGTCTTGATATTGATTGTGTGCGGCGCTCGGCCGTGTCGCCGATGGCGGCCCGCTTTTTGACGTGCTGCCTGTCTGTAGCATGTTATTGGTCGCATCGCTCCGACAAGTGTGCAGCCGGGAACGTTTTCGGCCCACGCTGCTGATGTATACTGTGACGTAGGTGAGCTATAGTCGTACTCAAGAGACATTGCGATTTCTATATTAGTCGGTGGGGCGCGTGGTAATAGACGCTCGCAGCTAAGGCTCATTAGCTGTATTACGGTGCACGCGATCAGCAATTGGACTTACGCGCTCCATTCGAGGGACTCCGTTCGAAGCTTCACACGCAGAACTAGGTGTGCCAACGACGTTCATTTTGATATGGGTATATTAATGTTACGATCATATACTTCAGATGGATAGCTGCGGGGCCCAAGTTCCCACGCTTTCTCAGTAATGGGGCCATTCTTTATGACCAGTATTAATGCGCGCGTCAAATATCCGAGCGCGGTGGTCCATTACAATGTACGCACCACACGGCCATCATCCACTTGGGCGTTTCACCTGGCCAAGAACGGAACTGGGTCGCCGGCGTGGCGTCCGTTGGCATGACCCGCTCAAATAGAGTCGCTGTTCTATCTGAACAGCTATGGGGTATGGTGACAGGAGCACGCTGCCGTGCTGGCGGCGAGCACGGGTCCATCTCAATCATCTCCCGCACGCCTGGTGTTTGCATAGCCAGCTGCCACTCGTACCGGCGGCGACGGGCGGCGGCGGGTGGCTGGTGACGCCTCCAGCGCGACGATCTATGGGAGCAGCGGTCGGGGGGTGCCGGGAGAGGACGCAGGACGATGCCGTGTGGGGTGGGAGCGGCCCGATGCGGGACACCGCACGGGTCGCCGCACGGACTGACCTTGAGGGGCTGGGGCGACGCCGTGTGTACGTGTGTGTGCGTGTGTGTGCGCCTGACGCCGCCTGCGGCCCTCAGCTCCCGGCGGCTCCGTGCTGGAGGAGGCGGAGGAAGGCAAGCCGTACAAGACCGACACGTGCGTCTTCCAGTCGGACAGCGACCTCGCCTCGCTCTCCAAGTGGGCCCAGGTGAGAGCGACATGGTGATCTTGTGCGGCGGCGCCCGGCCGACACGCGGCCGACGGCTGGCGGGGGACTGGGGCTGGACGTGTTTGCCGGACTGTCAGGCCAGTGGCGGGGTGTGGCCGCATGGCCGTCTCCGTGCCGCTGAGAGAGTTTGTGTGTTTTTAGTAGCGATGCCATTCCCGTGCGGGTGCTCCGGGGCTGTTTACGTCACCAGCACTGCGGTGTCGCTGCGTCCTGACGGGGTGACGCAAGTCCCAACAGGACTCCCTGAGCTGTCACCGGACGGGGGAGCTCTCACCTGCGCTGCGGCCCCGCGCCACCCGGTCGTGCCGGGCCTGCCCTGACCGCGGCCGCCCACCCGCCAGGTATTCACTAAGCTGATCCGTCGCTACAAGTATCTGGAGAAGATGTTCAAGGAGGAGATCGGCAAGATTATGTCGTTCGTGCACGGCTTCAGCGACGAGAACCGCACCCGGCTGGCTCGCATGATGGTACTCTGGATCGCGGACGGACACCTGCCACCCAGCGTGCTCCAGCTCATGCTCAAGGTGAGCGCGCGCCCCGCTCTGCTCCATGCGGCGGAGGCGGCGTCGGTGGCGCCGGGAGTCGGCATGGCGCGAGACGCGGCGCGCCGGCGCGTGACTGCTCTGTTGGCGGGGCCGGATGGCGGACGGCAGAGCCGTGGGCGGCATATTGCTGTCGCCGTGGCATGTCGCCGGTTTGTCCAATGAGCCAGGCCGTCGCTGCATGGCTGACGCCGCGGCCAGCCGGCCGCCGCCTAATTGCTATTTATTGCCTCCTCGTCGCCTCGCACAATCTGGATTTCGCTGTTTTTGCCGACCAAAGAAGGCCGAGATTGTTCACGTCTGCATCGGCCCGCCTCGGCGGAGGCGGCCGCCGCCGCTTTATTGCCGCGCGCGGAATCCTGGCGGAGGCGCGGCCGGCGGGCCCCTTTGTTGCGCGGTGGGATTGGTGCGACCGAGTTCGCGTATGGCTGCGCGCCGCCGGCCGACGCTGATCGGCCGTGACGAACGGTGGCGCAGCGTGAGGCTCCGGACGGGCGGCGGCGCCGGCGCACGTGCCGCGGACAGAGCCGAGCCGCTCGAGAAGGCGGCCGCGACGTCGGCGTGAGCAGGTGCAGAGGACGGCTCGCTCTGCGTCGGCTGGGGACTGCCAGGCCGCCCTGTTGGTGATGGTCGGCGGATGGTTGGCTGGTAACTGGCGGTAAACCCGGAGCTATAAAATCGACCCTCGTGTCCTTCGCCGCCCACCGAACTTGTATGCGTCCGCTGCCAATGGTTTGCAACGTGCTTCAATTGTGATGAGGCCTTAGGTGCCAGCAGATGCTACTGCGCCGTTACCGTGGCCGTAACGGTCGTCCGGGGCTCCACAAGCCTGGTTAGGTGCGTGCCGGGATCTGTCGGCCCGCTGTGGACATGCGTGACCGGGCCTTTTGCGGGGCACATAGACTGGGCCCAGCGGAGCCGTTATCAAGGATAATTATTCGCAATGCTCGGAAGTCACCTGGAATGATCTTGAGCGCGGCCAACACCAAAAGCAAGGAGTGAAATGATCAGAGATGGAAGGATCAATGATCATCAGTTTTTGCCTTAGAGATTTTCAGGTCATGACCAGTTGCATGAGATCAACGATGAAAGGATCAATGATGATCATGATCTGCCTCCGAGAATTTTAGACCATGACCGGATGCATTATATTAGCAGGCTGATAAATATCTCATCAAGCAGAGTTCGCCTAAAAAGAATGATACAGTCAGTTGCGGCAAATGCGGCGAAAGTGACTGAACGGCAGCTTATTCTTAAAGTCCTTAAGAAGGCAGAAAAATCGCCGCGGCACACAGTTATCAAGGCTGACTTCTATTCCATGCGAAACGCTGGAACAAGTTATCAGCCTTTGGGTGCTTAATGGGGACGGAGAGTCGTCCCGGCGCAAAACTACGGGAGTTCCCTGTGCCGAAGTGTGGCGGATGGTGGCGGCGATCGGCCGGCGGACAGGGCTGACACGGGCCGTCTCGAGCCGGCCTCGTCCGCAGCTGGGTACTCCCCGCGCCGTATTGACGTGCCGTGCCCGGGGCGCCGTAACGTATCTGGCCTGTCGCGCTCCCCGCGCTCGGCCTCGCGCCAACTACATTACCTAAGTGGGGGCCGGTAGGGGGGCCGCCGCTGTTGACGGCGACCGGAACTCGAGGAGGGGTTTCGACGCCCGGTGTGTCGGCCGCTGCTGGGAGCCGTGTGGGAGGGTGGTGGGCAGAGGTGAGGGGGGGGGGGGGGGGGGGGGGGGACTGGCGACGTCTGGCACCACCCGAGTGCTTTCGTTCGGCTGGGGTGCGTGTCAGACCATAGATATCGCGCGGCCACTCTTGCGTGCGGCGACCGCTGCCGACATGCAAGGCTTCAGGCATCGCCCATTGCTCGTGGCGTTAATGTATGAAGAGCCGTGTGCTTTTCAGTGTAGTCGTGTCGCGTATTAGCATAAACCATCAGGTTTGTTGGACCATGGTGCGGTGGAAAACCGCATGTTCTTTGACAGAAGGCCGGTGCCTTTTTAGCTTTTTGGTTTCCAGTCTCTGTCTGGCTTTTCTTTCCCAATTCTGTCTTGGGTGATAACCATACTTCCGTTTTAAATTGAGCGGATGCTGTTGTATCCAAAAAATTAGGAGTTGGTAAATGGAAACGTACACTGAAGCCAGCAGTGTTACGGAATCTCCTGGGTTGTGCAGATGCAATTCCGTCGTTGATAGATGAGGACGGACACTGAAGCCAGCAGTGTTAGGGGATCTTCTGGGTTGTACGCATGCACTTCCGTCGTTGGTAGATGAAGACGGACACTGAAGCCAGCAGTGTTAGGGGATCTTCTCGGTTGTACGCATGCACTTCCGTCGTTTGTAGATGAAAACGAACACAAGCCAGCGGTGTTAGGGGAGCTTCTCGGTTGTACACATGCACTTCCGTCGTTGGTGGATGAAGACGGACATTGAAGCCAGCAGTATTAGGGGAGCTTCTGGGTTGTACACATGCACTTCCGTCGTTGGTAGATGAAGACGGGCACTGAAGCCAGCAGTGTGAGGGTATCTTCTGAGTTGTACACGTGCACTTCCGTCGTTGGTAGATCAAGAGAGACACTGAAGCCAGCAGTGTTACGGGATTTTCTGGGTTGTACACATGCACTTCCATCGTTGGTAGATGAAGACGGACACTGAAGCCAGCAGTGTTGGGGATCTTCTGAGTTGTACACATGCACTTCCGTAGTTAGTAGATGAAGAGGGACACTGAAGCCAGCAGTGTTTTGGGTTATACGCACGCAGTTCCGTCGTTGGTAGATGAAGACGGACACTGAAGCCAGCAGTGTTAGGGGATCTTCTGAGTTGTACATATGCACTTCCGTCGTTAGTAGATGAAGAGGGACACTGAAGCCAGCAGTGTTTTGGGTTGTACACATGCACTTCCGTCGTCGCCGCTTGCCTTGACACTGTTTGGAGCTGCGCTCTGCTCCGCGCCGGAGGCAGTGTACGTGTTGTTCTGCTCCGGGGAGCTCAGCAGGGCAGCGGCTGAACCGTCTCACTTCAGACGGCCTCGTTGCACCGTTAGGCTTATATATTTGGATGCGTGTAAACTTGAACAGATGCGCTGGTCCGGACATGTAGTGGAGTGGAGCGCACGCCCGATGAAATATGTGGTAGGATCTCAATCCACTTGTTAAAGTGAAACGCATCCTCGTGTTTTAGGGGATCAGGTGTCGACGCTCGTCTTTTTAATGTAATTTTCCTGCCCAAGACCTTTATAGTCATCGTCCAAAGGCTAAATGCAATTCTTTGTCAGCGTTTGTGAATGATCTTGGCCGATGATAGGTTGCAGCGTGGCGACATTCACCTAGCGGGGTGCCGGGGAGGCCAATGGTCAGGGCGCCATCGCACCATCCGACGATCGGACCTTGGTCTCCTCCGCCTTCTCCGCCTCCGTCGTCCATCGTGCTGCCTTGGCTGCTGATGCTTGGCTCTTTGATCCCGAACCCCTGCCACCTGATCTGCCGCCCGCCTTGCCTTGCCTGGGGCGCCTAGACGCTGGGTTGACCGCTATCCGGCTGGATGCTGATTGGTCAGCCCTGAGCGCAAGTCGGAACAACAATCGGTGGACCCCATGGCACGCGTGAAGTCGCATGACAAAACTGCCGGTCTCCGTGACGCCCAAATGACTGAACACGTGGCGACCTACGTGCGGTTATCTTTCCACTGCCATTGTTGGTCAGGACGAGCCCTGTGACCGGCCGGACCTGTGCTGTCTGGGCACGGACATGTCAGTCGCTGACTGTGTTGCGCAGGAACACCTGGTCAAGGACATGGTCGCCGCCAACTTCATCGTCGAGTTCTTCGTCACATGGCTCAAGGCCAAGGACATGCCGTCGCTCAAGGCCGCGCTGAAGAAAGGTGCCCTGGAACACCGGTGAGTCTCTGTGTGCGTGTGGGGGTGTGCGGGGGTGTGGGTGTGTTTGCGTGTTTGCGTGTGCGTGTGCGCGCGGGCGCGCGCGCGTGCGTGTGTGTGTATATGTGCAGCGTCCCTGCCGGCGGGGGCACCTGCTGGCGTCCCTGTGCTCCCGGCCGGCGGGCTGGAGCGCGGTGGCGTAGCTCTGACGAAAAACGCCTGTTAAGTCATGGTGTCAGGAACAGTTAGCGCCCTCGTGCTCATCACGATTGTGAGCGGACTCTGCGCGCGTCGTGTGACACTGGTCAGGAGGTGGCCCGCACTACCTCAGTGGTGGTGTCGGCCGGTGGGGGAGGCGGAGAGGGCTTCCTAGCCGACACCAGATTCGGGTCCCGGTTTGGCAGCCGTGGACAGCGTGCGCCGAGGTCGTTTGGCGCCTCATCTGATCTGCCACAGCGGGCGAACTTAGCCCGGCATTGCTGACGTCATGTCCTGGCGCCCCGCGAGCTCCGCTTCGCGCTCGGAATGGCCGTACCTGGTGCCGACCCAGCCGGAGAGCTCAGTCGATGGCGCCCTCCCCCGCTCGCTCGGCGTATCCTGGCGCCCCGCGACATGTTGGCCGCCGGCCGTCAACTGACAACCTGTGCCCTTCCCCCCCCCCCCCCGCCCCCGCCAGCCTGATGGAGTTTCTGCCGGCCAACAAGCAGACGGAGGCGTTCTTTACCGATTTCTACAAGGAGAAGGGCCTCTCCGAGATCGTCAACTTCCAGAAACAGCAGGTGGGTGTCTATCCCTGCAGTGTTTTGATATTCGGCCTCTTAAGGTGGTGGAAATGTCGGTATTACTCAGGGTTCACTGTCTGTTGCTCCGCTTCTTGCCCGAGATCAATCAATCAGCATTGAACCGGGTGACGTTCAACCCAGCCTCCGGGCTCCTCGGGTTGGACAGATCGGTCTTACGGGTCAGATGTCAGAGGGGGGGGGGGGGGTCAAAGAGCAGCAAATTAACACTCAACGAAGTGTGCGTGCGTGCTGTACCATCGGAGAGCCATAATTCTGACAGCATCAGATTATGCTGATCTTCTGCGCGCCCTACGGGATGATTTCGAAATCGTGCCTGCCTTTCCGTATCCGTGTTTTGGAAGCTGTGACGTTCCAGAAGGAGCAGTTGTGTATCCCGTGCTCACTGATTACGGTTCGCGTCGTTCCTGCGATCGTTGCGCTCGAGGAGCGGTGATGTTGATGAGTACGTGATTGGCGTGCCGCGTCGAGGGCCAATACTCTCAGCTAAAGTTGTGGTGGCCTGCGGTGTACGTGAGGCATGTTTGAAGCAACAGTGGCCGGGCTTTGACTAGCTGGTGACGCCGGTTCCAGGCCAGCAAAGAGGCGCGGAAGGACCTGCAGACGAAGCTGGCCGAGATGCTGAACAACGACGAGCCGCGCGAGTCCGTTATCACCCAGGTCAAGGAGCTGACCTCCAAGCTGCAGCTGGGAGACCCGGAGGTGATCACCATCGTAAGTGCTGGCTGGCCGGGCGCCCGCTGCCAGTAGTGGCGCCGGCGCCGGCCTCTGCCCGCCTGCGGCCGGTGCCGCGGTGCCGCGCTCCCCGCTGAGGTGTGTGGCCGGCCTCTCCGCCCCCGGTGCTGGTCTCTGCCCGCCTGTGGCCGGTGCCGCGGTGCCGCCCTCCCGCTGAGGTCTGTGGCCGGCCTCTCCGCCCCCGGTGCTGGTCTGCCCGCCTGTGGCCGGTGCCGCGCTCCCCGCTGAGGTGTGTGGCCGGCCTCTCCGCCCCCGGTGCTGGTCTCTGCCCGCCTGTGGCCGGTGCCGCGGTGCCGCCCTCCCGCTGAGGTCTGTGGCCGGCCTCTCCGCCCCCGGTGCTGGTCTGCCCGCCTGTGGCCGGTGCCGCGCTCCCCGCTGAGGTGTGTGGCCGGCCTCTCCGCCCCCGGTGCTGGTCTCTGCCCGCCTGTGGCCGGTGCCGCGGTGCCGCGCTCCCCGCTGAGGTCTGTCGCCGGCCTCTCCGCCCCCGGTGCTGGTCTCTGCCCGCCTGTGGCCGGTGCCGCGCTCCCCGCTGAGGTCTGTCGGCCCTCTCCGCCCCCGGTGCCGGCCGACGCACCGCTCCCCGCCGCGTCCTGTCATGTCTGTCGTCGCGGGTCGCTCCCCTACGCACGCTGCGGCGGTCGGCTTCCATGTAGAGGACGGTTGCGTCATGGCCTTTGAGCGAAGGACCTAGGAAGTCCCTTGCGGTCGCTGACACTCCATGATGTGGTGTAAAGCGATATGCGTTTTTTCAATCAGCCCCTTTTTTAAACCAAGCTCCTTTATCCTCTAGAGACTCGGTCCCCGGCCACGCCCCGTTACGTGTGCTGCCGCGCCGCGCCGCCACGTGTCCGCGTCGATCTGCCGTATGATCTGTGCGGCGGAACGCGGCGTGTGACGACCGGCCGCCCCGCCCTCGGCAGGTGTGGCCGACCGTCATGTCGGTGGTGGAGTGGAACAAGAAGGAGGAGCTGGTGGTGGACCAGGCCATCCGCCACCTGCGCGAGTACATCCCGCTGCTGAAGCAGTACACGGAGAGCTCGTCGCGCGCCCAGATGACGCTTATCCTGCGCGCCCAGGAGTACTGCTATGAAAACATGAACCTCATGAAGACGTTCAGCAAGATCATCATCCTCTTCTACAAGGGTGAGCGACGCTGCCGCGGGGCGGACACGCCGGCGAGCTCCCGTGAGGAGCTGTTTCTGTTATTACCTGGCGTGGTCAATGCATTGGAACGGATTAGGCTCTTTGGTGTTTTTTTTTCTTGCAAGGACATTGAATGTGAGCCTCATTAGGCTGCAGCATTCTATATGCGATGTAATGCAGCATGCTTCAAGTCAGAACCGCCTGCAGTAGATCTTACGGAGAGTGGCAGTCGACGTTAACATCGGCTGTTGTCCGCAGCGGATGTGCTGCACGAGGAGGTCATCTTGCGCTGGTACCAGGACACGCAGGAGGGCAAGGCCAAGGGCAAGACGGTGTTCCTGGAGCAGATGAAGGGCTTCATCGACTGGCTCAAGAACGCCGAAGAGGAGGGTGAGTGGGGGAGGGGAGGGGGCGCAGCGCGAGCACTCGGGGCGGGAGGCCCTCGAGGCGAGTCCCTCCAGCTTGGGGCGGCAGGGCCCGCAGGCGCCTGCACTGAGGCTGGGGATTGCAGCAGCTGGGTGGACTCACGAGCTGTAAGGGCCTCCGAGTGGTTGGGTGCAGTGGTGAGTTGGTGTGGTGTGGAAAGTGTCATCTGTAAAGTATGTGTAGGTTTTGTTTCGTAAGTCACTGTTCATGTAGTGGATGAAGCGACTCAGGTGTAAGCGTGATGCACCGAGGTAGATATTACACCGAGGTAGGATGCAATATCGTCATAGCATTAATCTTTAAGTTTTACCGTCTGTCTTGATGCTGTAAACTTCTTGCGGAGACATTCCCGGACATAAACTTTCGTGTATGAAATGTAAAATATCAACAGCGAGCCCGGAATAGCACTAAGCTATTCGCAGTTTGTGAGACTTTGTCATAACCATAGCTTAAAGCTGACGTCGTGTGTTCTCGAGGAAGGTCGGTTTTTACGGGTTTATTTTTGTCGCGTGAGCTTTATGGTCCGTCAGCCTCGCCTGGTCGGTTATTTGATCCAGTCGAACGGCGCGCCGAGCCGCACGTCAGCGAGGGTGACGCACGCCGCCGCCAGCTGGGCCGCGCCGCACATGGAACAGGCACCCATGCGTGGGCCTGAGGTCACACCGCGTTCCACGGTGCCTGGTCTGGCGTCACTCGCCCACTGCAGTAGGTGCTCCAAGCTGTGGTGGCGCGATGGCCGTGCGTAAGACGTGTATAGCCCCCACCGATGTAAACTGACGGGCGCCCTCCCCCGTGTTGCAGACTCAGATGAAGAGGAGGACGACTAGAGGAGCGAGCGCCGCTCTCGCCGCCCTGTACAACCGCCCCGCCCCTCCCCCTCCCCTGCCCTCCCCTCCCCCTCCGCTCCCTCAGGCGGCGGCCGCCCCGCGCGCCAATCGCGTCTGATCAAATTTGTGCCGGTCGTCGCGCGCCGCCCGGCTGCGCCCCACCTTTGCGTTCCAGGGGCGGCCGGGGTCGGGCCGCCACGCCCGGACCCGGCCGTGCCCGGTCAGCTCGTCGCCCGCTCTATGATTTGTATTTTTATACTGGCGGCGGGACAGTATGGGCTGTGCGGGCGTGCCGGCCGCGGCCGCCGGTCGCACCCAGCCCCCCAAATTGACGTCTGTGTGTCTCTGGGCGGTGGAATACAGGACGGTGAGCGGAGCTGTGTCGTGTCTGTTGGGTTGGGAACTTCCAGAGCCGGGCGTGGACTGCACCGCGGTCTGCTGCCGGCCTTGGTCCGACGGCGGGGCGCGCTCCGCCCTGGTCTGCCGCTCCGGTGAACGGCTTGGCGTCAGCAGGAGCGGACCGGCCGGCGGCCAGAGGGTGGCGGCGCGCTCCGCCCTGGTCTGCCGCTCCGGTGAACGACCCGGCGTCGGCAGGAGTGGACCGGCCGGCGGCCAGAGGGTGGCGGCGCGCTCCGCCCTGGTCCGCCGCTCCGGTGAACGGCTCGGCGTCAGCAGGAGCGGACCGGCCGGCGGCCAGAGGGTGGCGGCGCGCTCCGCCCTGGTCTGCCGCTCCGGTGAACGACCCGGCGTCGGCAGGAGTGGACCGGCCGGCGGCCAGAGGGTGGCGGCGCGCTCCGCCCTGGTCCGCCGCTCCGGTGAACGGCTCGGCGTCAGCAGGAGCGGACCGGCCGGCGGCCAGCGGGCGGCGGCCAGAGGGCGGCGGCGCGGCCCCGGATGTGGCGAGGGTCAAGACGAGAGCTTGCGTCTCAGGCGGACGGACTGCGTATTACATCCACTACTAACCGTTCCTTAGTCCTGTCGCTCTGAACACAGGTCAGGCAGCAGCTGATGTACATCGCAAGCTAAGCGGACGGGACGCGCCGATGCAACGGCCGACCGCCTTCAGCACTTATAATTCACCCTCCGACCTCCAGATGGCTACAAATGCTCACCACGCGGGGCCACAAGCCTGATGTCCTGCGGCGGGTGACGGGTCATGTGATGTCCACCACCAGCAGGTCTCCGTCGCGGACGGTGGTCGCTGAGCAGCGACCTTCGGTCCCGCTGACACCGCAGCTGGAGCGGCTCCCAGAATACCGGCGCCCCGTCCGGGAATACCTGGCCGACGTTCGCTGAATAACGCAGCGCCGCTGAGTCAGCGCGCCCCTCTGAATGTCGGATGGGGGCCGACGGACGTGCCGCGCGCGCGCACCAGGAGTCGGCGGGATGAGCCTGAACGGCGCACAAACAGCTCGCAGGCGGCCGTGTAGGCAAAACGGGCGGCGGCGGCCTAGGCGCGGCAATGGGCCAATTTGCGCAGGACCACTTGTGAACCATAGCACGGCTGTCGGCTGAGCCTGTTGCAAACTCTGCAGACGTTCCACGGCCCATCCGGAGGCCGCGCGTGGTCAGCGGTTCGTTGGCTTCACGCTGGCTGCAGTCATCGGTTTTGGGGCGTTTGAGCCGACGCACTGCTCGTGTTTGGGCAATGGGGCCTAAATTACCGCTGCGCAGTTTTGGCGTGGATGATTGTTGGCAAACCTGTCTTGAGGTGAAAATGCAGGATCATTCGTAAATGATGGGCGCCGCAGTGGCACCGGCTTCGGTCGGTGTAGGGGGCTAGCGCCCCTCATGTCCCAGCCCCGGCAACGGGTGGGCTGCGCAAACTGTTCAGGGCCTAGCGACCCCGCCGGCACGTGAGCTCCTGTTCCTTGTCCCGCCCGCTCCATTCCCATCGCCTGCATTCCCTCATCCGGCCCTCTCACCATTCCTCATCCTCATTTTATTGGGGCCGCCGCGTCCCCGGGTTGATCGGATCCTGGTGGCCGAGGGGCGCTCGTGCGGGTCAGTCACGGCGCGTTGCAACTCCACCTTGGCCAGGATATCCGGGGGCGCGGGAGGTCCATGGGGCCCCACACGGGTCTAGCGGCTTGTCAATCACGCTGCGGCTGGGTACTCCGTGCGGGTTTCCGCTCGGGGTGCCTGGCCGTGCGCAGCGGCTTGAGGTGGCAAGGGGCGGCAGCGCTGAGCCACGGTCTGGACAGGGAGCGGTCTTTCCGGTCACACCTGGCCGTGTGGGAGGCGTCGTTCGCCCCGTATAGCACCGGGGTAGCCCTGGCGGCGTTGACCACCTTCCGTAGGGGCGTTGGACTGCTCAGTTGGGCTCCGAGGTGGGTGGCGAGCCCCGGTGCCGAAACTAAAACCACTATATGGCTTCTTCAAACCCCCCAAAAACCCGCTCTCCAAAAGGGGGACGGATTGCGATGAGTTCGGGGCACGGAGTGGAACCAGGTCCACCTGCCCCACGGATCCTTGTATTTCGAAGTGATGAGAAGTTTGTCATCTCTGGCCGTTCCAGCACCGAAACGGGTGGGACAGGTTTGGTGACGTGATCCGCTGCGACAAGTTGCGGGACGGTGCGACAGATGTTAGGTTCTACAACGGTGCCGCCGCAACACGGGCTATGACAGCCATTGAGTTTGTATATTCCATCACGACCTGGGGTCAAAAGCGAGACGTGAGCGTGCCGATGGCCGTAACCCCATACCAAACCAAATATTTTTTTTTCTCGAGGCATCATTAACGGCTATGATCTTTGGGATGTCAGTGAGGAAGAGATTGTCCAGGAGTTGAGAGTGTTTGGAGTTACCGCAGCGCGCCGGATGAAGGTTGGGAGTGGCGGCCAGATACCCACCAATGACATAATTATGACGTTCGACCGGCCAGACTTACTTTCTGACATCTGCGTCGGCCATGCTGCCGTCAAGGTACGGGTGTACGTGCCCAACCCTGCGCACTACTTTCAGTGTCAGCGCTTCGGGCACACGAAACCACACTACCGGAACAGACCAGCCTGCGGGCTGTGCGTGTGCGTCGTTCGAGCATGAAGGGAGCCAATGTGACGCTGTGCGGCCAGGGTGTGTAAACTGTGGGGCTGGTCAGGCACCTCACGCGACCTGTGACCGGAACTGTCCGACATTCACGAAAGAGAAAGAAATCGTTTTTCCAAAAGCTGCTAAAAACATCTCTTTTGCGAGGCACGACAGCTGTATGAGGCTAGTCACTCTAGAACGTCCTATGCGGATCAAGCCAAACGCTCAGTACCACAGCACACTACCATTGTCGAGATGTCAGCTGTTCAGCTCATTTCACTCCTGAGGTCCAGTGGTGCCGGCGGGGCAGGCGGCTGCCGCCCGGCCGGAGACCCTGGTTTCCAGCCCACCGCCGGCCCGCTCGGCAGCGGCCACCCTGACGACATCACCTGCTCCGCTGGCACCTTCGGGAGAGGAGGGGTGGACGGTGGTCCAGCGTGGCCGTGGTCCGTGGCCTCCGTCGTCACCCACGTCGGACAAGCCGCTGCCCCCTTCTCCCGTTTCGGGCACGGCGCTACCTTCGTCGCCTCTGACGCCGCTGGTTAATGCGTGTGGACGGGCGCTAGACACGTTGGAGCGCCACGAGGCGGACGGGCGCGTGCGCGATGCCAAGCGGGCGCGATTTGCCGAACAAGAACGGCCAAGGCCGCCAACCGTTTGTCCGGGGCGGGCAAGGAGTCCGTCCCTCGCAGCACTACTCCATCGCCCGGAATGCCGGTGGAGGCTGTCGCTGGTCCCCAGAGTCTGGTAGAGGCCCACTGATGGGCCCTCCCCCACCGCCACTCCGGCCTGGGGACGATGGCGTAAAGCATACCCCGGCCGGTCCCCCGTCTCCATCTGACGGAGGGAGTCCCAGGACACCTCCCACAGTGGGGCATGGTCCTGCAGAGCTAGGACGTAGCCCCCAGCATGCAACGTCTACTCCTGCAACTAGCGTAGTCCAGTTATTTTAAGACGCATCCGTTTTTAGTTTTTTGGACTCCTATCCGTCTTTAAATACGCCCCCTTTACAGGCCTTTGTACTGTGGAATTATAGACGGATCAGGGCGAATACCCTCGACCTCCAGGCTATAATCACTAAACGCTGTCCTGCAGCCGTAGCGCTGCAAGCGACGAAACTACCGCCTCAGCATTGCTGGTCTTTGAAAGGACATGCGATGTTTCGCAACGCCGCGCTGACGCGGAGCATTGCACATGGCGGCACACTCCATGGTCCGCGCTTCAGGCCGTGGCCGCGCGGCTTTTTCTCCATCACTGTCACATCGCTGTTTGTTCACTTTACCTTTCGCCGCGTATCGCCTTTCCGTCGGTGCACATCCGATATTTCCTGTCTGGACTCCCTCCACCGCTTTTTCTGCTGGGTGATTTCAATGCACGTCATACCGCGTGGGGATGTGACGCCACAAACACTCGTGGAAGGCTGTGTGCGAATTTTATTCATGGTGCTTCACCATACACTTTAAACACAGCTCACACATTTCACAATGTCATCCGGTCAGACAACGGCGTTAGACTTAAGCCTCTCCAGTCCCCAGCTGGCTCAGTGCCTTGAGTGGAGTGCTGGTGATGACCCGATGGTAAGTGACCACTTTCCTGCGTGGATCCGATTTACGTGAGGTGGAACATTGAGTGTAAGGCCATTTGAATTTGTAAGACGCCGACTGACCTTTCATCCTCCAGCCTGGAAAGAAGAAGTGTTCTAAACGGACTACGTTTCTCAACTTTGAAAACAGCCGCTATGCACTTTTCCGGACGCCCTCGTCCATGCCCCCCCCCCCCCCCATGGCTTGAATGCCGTGCGGCCAGACCACTCCGAACCAATCCAGTACCCGCCTCTTGGGTCTGCAGTTTGATAACCGTTTGACGTATAAGTCACATCTGAAAGCCCTACGTGGCAACTGTTTTAAGGCATTGTTCATATTAAAGTGCGGGTCTTGAACATGTTATGCAGCGGACAGGAGAACACTTAATTCTATACCGCTCACTCATGAGTTCGAAACTTGACTATGCATGTTTTATTCATGACCGCGCGCTGGGTTCCTGCAAATTTTATTAGACACCGTGCATCATGGCGCATTACGCACCGTGACGGTAGCGTTCAGGACGTCACCAGTTACCAGAGTTGCGGTGGAAGGAAATTAACCAGCGTTTGCACTTGGAAGGGAAATACTTGGCATGCGGTACTTTTGCAACCTGGTTCAATTTCCAAACCATGCGACTCACAGCAATTTTGTCGCGTAATGTTGAAAGCATGTTCCAAAGTGGCGAAAGGCCGTACGCTATTCCATTTGGTGTACAGATGAAGAAACTGTTCCGGGAAAGCGATATTAGTTTGCATGGTGTGTCAA